TATATATATATATATATATATACATATATATTTATGCGGTTTTTAACACGGCTCGAGCGTTAATAAATTTATAGTGACGGGGTTTGTATAGACAAAGTCAATGGGCCTAATACAACCGCGTCTGTCGTCACATCTTTTATTTTATTTTTTAAAAAAGGCAACAGGACAACAGGTCAACCTCCCCTGCACTGCCTGCAGTCTGATCGTGATCAGTGATCAGTGATTCACTACTCTCTCTCTAGAGTATACGAGAGAGTCTATTAGAGGTTCTGACTGGACCACTCTTCGAATTCTACTACTACTCTACTCTGGCTTTCTACTCCAGCTTTCAACGCTCACTATAGTTAAGTCTGTTAAGAAGTGAGTCAAGACTCAACTGATAGGGGTATGTTTGAAAGTTGAAACTCAAAAAGTCAGGGTATGAACCTGAAAGTGTTTTCCGTTAAAACCTTTATAAATCGAATAAATAAATGTTTATGTTCTACTTTTATTTCACCTGTGGTCCTTTGTATGCTCATAGGTGCAACTTGCGGGTCTAAAATTTAGATTTGTACCATATTCACGTAACGAACCAGCCCTATAAAGTACTTAGGTGTAAACCCTTCATGTTTCAAAATTGAATATATATTCGATTACGTTCAACTTCTATCCCGTACCCTCATAACGTTATGAGCTTAGGGCTCTTCTGATCATGTTATTGCCGATACAACGTTTTTTTTAAAATTGAATAATTATACGTTTACGTTCAACTTCTATTCCGTACCCCCATAACGTAATGTGATAGGCATGTGACCATTTCTCGATTGGCAGTTCATATTAATAACTTCATACTGCATACAGAGTTTACAGACTCACTGACTGTCACACTGTCGCAGTGCATCCTGCATAGTGCATACTTATAATGCTTACTGCATAGTCAAATAAAAGTCATAACTCATTTTTTTTTAAAGTAAGACAGTTTTAGTGAGTTTAGTCACTGTTTCGAAATCGAAACTAGAGTATTTATTTACTACCAATCGATGGCCTTCTTGAATATTATTTTCAGCAGGTTATGACCAATCGAGCAATCGCCCCGATCCTGTGATCCAGATAGCTGATCTTATGGTACTTTTATTTGTGGCTGTTTTTATTGTTTTATAATAATAAAAATGTGCAGCATACCCACAGGCCACAGGCCACAGGCCACAGGCCACAGGCCACAGGCCACAGACCACACTCCACACTCCACCGTCCCACAGAGGCACACACCGGGCATAGGATTATGTTAATGTAGGGCCATAGCATATCTAATACTATTTATGACATCTTATCTCACTAGACATTTTATCACAAATTGAAAATATGGTAAAATTGTGGGCTGGCCGCCGGATAATAGTATAATATATAGCTCCCGCTCTGGATGAAAGGCGGTGTATATTTAATATTTATAAGGTCCATTGCCATTGGACAATCGGACAGATTGTCATGGTGAGTAACTTATTTCTTCAATGACAAGTTGACAAGTGACAAGTGACACCCAACTACATACCAAGAAGTTGACAACTTCAGTTCTGTCACAGAGTCACAGACTCACAGTCTCACAGACTCGCAGTGCTTTTAGCCTTTAAAGCTTCACATCGCCTTCATCTACTTTTTTTCTACATAACTACTCTTTTTTACTCTACTATTGCAACTCAACCTTTTCTTTTGTTTGTTTTCCGTTTTCGAACGATAAGATTGTAAAAAAACAAAAAAATTCACTCTCAACTTCTCGTGAATCGCGACTCGTGTCTCGCGACTCGTGTCTCGTGAATCGTGACTCGTGACTCGTGATTCGTGAGTCGTGAGTCGTGAGTCGTGAGTCGTGAGTCGTGAGTCGTGAGTCGTGAGTCGTGAGTCGTGAGTCGTGAGTCGTGAGTCGTGAGTCGTGTCAAATCGCAAGAATTTCACAACAGAGTCTGAGACTCTGAGATCAGTCTGATCAGTGGATCAGTGGATCAGTGGAGTGAAGCGTGATGACTGAAGACTGCCGACAACAGCTGATATTAAATTATTTTAGAAACCAAAAAAAACAAACATTGTCATTCTGAATTTTTTTGTTCGTTAATGATTCGAAAATCGAAGCTGTGCCTGTGCCACTACAATGCCCTCTACAATAGTCTATTTAGTCTATGGTTGCTATCTGTTGGCTATGCTGCTGGTGCCCAGTCCGTAGAAGTTTGGAAATGGGCGGAATATATGGCGGAAGTTTTTTTCTCGACTACGTATGCGTTCCTGTCTTGCTATTCGGCAAACTTTCTATAATTTTATGTTCAAGTTTGGGGCGCTGCATATATATACAGGATACAGACTCCACATTATTTACAATTGCAACTTATTGACGACAATTGTAATTTCTCAAATATACACATTATGATGAACCAAGTTGGCCAACAATACAGCACTTACGGGAATCCGCTAAGGAACCTGGTTAAGCGACCCCATAAATCTGACAAGTCAACTCCGAGACCAGCAGATCTCACCAATGTATTGAGCATACATAGTGTGAGTAGTGGAGACTGCTCCTTCGATTCCTTTGATTCGCTCGCTCACTCAAGGATAAAAATTCCCAGATCACAGACACGCAGGCCGTCCGTGCATACTCATGGTCCGGAGGTAGATCCCAAGGTGCTAATTGACACACTAACGTTCTACCCTGGCTATAGAGGATACGTCGCGGGCATTGTGAAGAGCAAAAAAGCAGCCGGGGGCTACTTTGTCAAGATGCAGCGCCGTACAGCCATTCTTGTAAGTGCGGACGAGTATGGAGTGGTTATTCTGTCAAATGATGACGCAAGTTTGCAATGTAGGATAAATTGGCCCGAGCTGGCTGATATAGATCATGTGCACACAGATGGGACATCCACGCCATTGCGCAAACGGAAGCGCAACAACTATATAGCACTACGGTTGAAGGATGGTTCGGTATACGTTATTAATTCGCTGCAAACGCCGGAACTACACATGCTAATAATGGACACTTATTCCAATAAGGTTATAATGTAGGGGTTAAGAAGTATAAATAAAAAATAAAATATAGAATTGAATATTGTACCGGATGCACATGGAAAAAAGGATTTTATGGACGAGTGGATGATTTCCTTTCCTGTTTGGTCATCGTTCAAAATGTAATGTTTTGACAGTTCTGTGCATGTTATACATACATCAGGAGTTACTAATTTTGAAGCTCATATTGTTTCCTGGTCTTCAGACGTACTATACCGCTGGGATCTACAACATTTTATATTCCGCGGGTAGGATACAACACATTATCTTTCGTTTGAAATATCCAGAATTACGGGAGCAAGTGCTGTGGAGATCAATACGTCACCCAACATATATATTTATGCAAAGTGAACTACTACATAGTCTCACTCGAACATCATGTAAATTATTATGTAGTAATTGTTGTTACACACTGTAAAAGTACTGAAAGCTTCTGGAAAGTACTACATGGCATCACGGATTTTATTCAAATTAGGCATTCTCAATCACCAACACTTCAAAAGTTGGCTTCTAAAGTTGGGCCATATGGTAGGGTTGTATCTCGTTAAAGGCCCGATCTCAATGGATTTGGACTCCTCACGGATTGGCGCATCAAATATATTGTTGACAGAAGGTTGTAGCGAGAATATGTTTTCAAAAAAACTATTCTAATGATGGATTGTTGCATTTATCGTGTATTGGAAAATGGAAGCTGTTTGCTCGTGTCTAAGAACTCCTCGATCGTGAGTCTGTGTGAAGTGTATTTTTAGGCTTTTACAAGACTTGAGACTTGAGACTTGAGAGGGATGAGTCATGAGATTCGTCAGTTGCAGCCTCGCAGGCCTGGGTAAAATATGTGAGGCTTGTGCCTTGTCGTCTGTAGTGTGTATACTATAAGCCAAGGCGTACGCTATTTACAGTAATTGACGCGCCATGTTATACATATTTACGTATATTACGTTATGTGGGTCATACTGCGACTTACGTTTCTCAGTTGGTGTCAATTTTTCGACATGTATTCCATATTTTAGTTTTTGGGATCCCAAGGACCCCAATATCGGAATCATATCACTGAAAATCGCGATTGACAGACTTCTAAATAAAGGTGTTTTCATGCGCCTCCAGTAATAAAATACTAAAAAGCAAAAACAAAAATTCATCCAAATTTGCGATATATTGGCAAACTGTAAATGTTGCAGTCTGGTTGAACCAGTCTATATTCAGTTGTACTTTTTTTGGACGATATATTTCATATTTAATCCCACAAATTTAGGCCACATATATATTTTAGAATTTCGTAAAATGCTCCCGTACTACGTATTGAAAATTGAATGCGGCAACTTGCACTGTTTGTAGAGACTTTTCCAGGTGCCGGCGCAACAGCTTATTGCGGAAAAGATCGAGCTGACCGTCAATAACAATAGAATACAAAGTAGTTATGTACCTCTGCTTTCCTCCTTGCATTCTTATTTGCTGCCTGCTTTATCAACACCGAAACCTTTCTTTTGCTTCTTTTGCACTCCTGTCCCTCTCTGCTTCACAGACTTAGCTGCCTTTCCGTTCATACTTGTGAAAAACNTACTTGTTGTGTACGTGCCGCATACTATATATATATATATATATATATATATATATATATATATATATATATATATATATATATATATATATATATATATATATATATATATATATAT